GTAGGGTAGGGACAATAATTCTAAATTGAGACTTTATATTAGTTACTACTTTTATTCATTAAAGTGCAATTTTGGAATAAAATTATGTTTGTGTTTGATTATCCTTTTATATTACTTTACTATATGATAAATAAATTTACTTGACCCACTTTTGGGCTGCACGTAATGATACAAGCATGTCTTAGTGAATTAATAATAGTAAAGTTAAGTGTATTAAATCTTTTTATAAGTTAGAGCCCTTGGAGTACTGCATGCAATCTGCAATTAAGGATATGTAATGTCTTTTTAGGACATTCAATGAGACCATATTAGAATCGGCACAAATAACAAACAACAAATAATAAAAGGACAAATTACTTAACTACACTCCTTTACTTACCTTAATATCCATTTATCTCTACTTATTTCAAAAAATTCAAAAATCCCTTATTTACCTATGTATCCCGCATGTATCCCGTGCACAACGCTATGTGTAATGTATCAAACGCTATGTATCCCGTGCACAACGCTATGTATCTCACATGTATCCCGTGCACAATGCTATGTATCCCGCTATGTGAATGTATCAAACCTAATGTATCCCGTGCACAACGCTATGTATCCCGCTATGTGAAATGTATCAAACCTAATGTATCCTGTGCACAACGCTATGTATCCCACAAACATCATTTTTAAGGGATTTTTGGTAAATAGAAAACTAGAAGGGATAGGATATGATTTAGTACTTATAATATGTGGTTCCTATAATTTATACATAATAAAATTGCAAAAAAAAAGAAGAAGATCATATTGAATTGTTGTTTCACGTTTATAGTAACTTAGATCGTTATCTACTATCTTAAGATTTTTAGTCTGCTCAAATAAAATCTTTAGATCATAGTCTAAGAGGTCTATAATTTTTCAGAGAAATAAAAAGATCAGCACATAAAAATAATTATTTCAGAGATAACTGACGAAAATTTATATTAGAAAACACTTTTAATTTAGCCTCATGAGTCTGACATAGCCAAATACATGATTCTTTTGTTTAGACTACCTACTATAACAAAGAAAGTGCTCACTCGAAAAGCAAAGGTTGTTGCAAAGTTATAACAGCTGCGAGTTATCCTGAGTTCAAAAAAAAAAAAAAACTAATACGATTTTATAAAATATTTTCTTACTAAAAAAACACATAAAAAGGTCCTGCCGATTAGCAAGTAAAATTTATAACACGAGAGAAATGAATTCTGGCCAGAAAAATAACAAGGGATATAGAGTTACAATCTACAAATTATTACTACAACTATTTTTAATTGTCATGATTTCTTTTTTTAGAGTCAAATTATAAGAATTTTGACTAGCATTTTACAATTATTTATTAATATGTAAAAAAATACAATTTGTAGTACTTTTTGTATAGTTTTTAAATATCTAAATATTTTGTTTAAAATATCAAATTAATGTAATCTAATTTAACTTTGAAAATTAGTCAAATTGACTTTTAAAAAGTGTAACATAACAATTAGAAGTGGATGAAGGAAGTAAATATTAGTAAATTATACTATATATATAAGAATATTACTTTATATAAATTTTGAACACCTTTAAATATTCCTAATCGATGAATAATATAATATAGCCCGCAATAAAAGGGACTTTAATTAAAGATGACTCAAGAAGAAAAAGAAAAAAAAAAAGAGAAGCAAAGGCAACCATAGACTACTAGAATAATAATTAATTAGATTTAATGCTTTAGTATATTTTAATTAATACTCCATTAGGTTTGGTACTTTAGTACTAGACTACTAGAATAACTTATGCTACAGATGATTTTCTCATATTTATTAGGAGAAAAAGGAAAAGATAATGTTGACTTTGACAAAGGCAAAACCACAAAAGAAGAGGCAAAATATAGTGTTTTCCTTTTTTGGGTTTTCGCCCCCATATTTGATTCTTATATTGGAGTTCGATTAATTTGGATTCGCGTCGGATAGGACCTTATTTGGAGAGGTAACACTCTCTACCAAAGATTTTTCTATATCCAGAGCTTGAAACCGAAATCTCTGATTAAGAGAAGAATAACCTCATCTACTACACTACATATATACTCTAATGATAAAAAATATTGTTCTCAACAGATTTAGATATTGCTATTATGATGGCTCTTGAATGTATCATAGTAAATTTCACTATTCTTTTTAAATTTCGAAATTACACGTAGTTTATTGTTATTATTATAAGTTATTAAATTTTACTTACTATTGATTGTAAACCCATTGAAAATTAGTAATTTTGATTAAAAGACATCATTGTCATAATGATGTAAAAAAGCTATATACATTGTAACTTAAAAGTACATAAAGTTATAACTCATTTCCCCCTTTAATTATGATAGGGTCTTCTGAATTCTAATGAATCACATTTTTTCTAATTAAAATATTTTTTTAATCTTATAAGTACATATGAATTAATTCTAAAGGAAATGGTAGATAATATCCACCTTCCCAACTCCACCCATAGTATTAACCTTCTCTTGTCTTTGTCATTGAGCTTACTTTCTACATATCCTAGTGACCTAGTCAGCAATACCAACCACCAAAACAATGTGGTGCATATGGTTGTTGTCTCTTGATCAGAAGTTTCGAATTTGAGTTTTGAATATGAAAAAATATTTTTCTCGAATGAGATCTTACGTTGTGTGAATTCAAAATGATCGAACTTCAATGTAAATATTGGACACCGAATAAAAAAGCCGTTCCATTTAAAATTTTACAAAACACTTAAGAAATAATAATTAATATAAATATTTTCTCAAAATTGATATTAATTATAATATATAGTCTTAGGTCTTGAAAAAATGATTTGGAGAATATTAATTCATCTTGAGGGTAAAGTACGAAAAAAATATGTTAAAAGTGATAAGTCAAATGAGAATTTATTTTTGAAATAATGGACAAGTAAAAGTGAACGACGAAAGTACTTTTAAAAGTCAATGGCTTTAAGTAACTAAATTTAAAAATAAAAAAGACAACGGATTAAAATAACTTAGTTTAGGTAATAATTTTAAAGAAAATTGGAAGTTGCTTATATACAAATACAGTTTATATTTAGAGTCAACAAGTATATATTCTGTTTTAGTTACATGTTCATACTATATTATAACATAAATTTATTATATTTCAAGTTGTTACTTGGAGATATTATTGTTAATGTAGATTAATGAGTTAAAATTATCCCCTTCCAACTTTTAAGTGTAAGGTACTCCCCCCCCTCCCTCTAAATAATTAAAACACCACTGAAATAATTCATCTCATATATAATATAGTTTTTGAATACATTCTATTTTCTTCCACGCATACACAAATATATATGGTTGTACAAATAATTTTTAAAAAATGATAAGATTAAAATATTGTCGGAATACATAAAGACTTGTATTAATCATTAATAAAATTTAACTACCCTAACTATCTAGATAAGAAATAAAATGCAAAGTTATAATAATTATAAACTAATTATTAAAATGAAAAGAAAATAAATAAAGGAACTTTTACCAAGAAAAAAAGAGATTAATAAGATTGAAATCGATTTAGAGGGCGATGGGTTATCTGCCATTCAATCTGTATTCTTCAATTGAATTAACTAATTGATTTATCTAGTTTATTTATTAACAAAATTAATATTACTCGTAAAAACCTCTTGAATTCTTAATTACCTACTCAATAAAAAAAAATGCTTAAACAAACTCAATTTCAAATTTAAAAAATCACAGTCTTTTTAATAGACGAACAGGAGCTTAAAGTAATCAAATTCGTGAAATTTCATTAACAAATTGACTTTATTATATAGTTTATTTGATTGTTTTTTATGGTCAATCAATATAAAGTATGCCATTTTTTTGGTCGTATATTTTGTGCACACCAATATATATATATTTTTTGGTATGCCACATTTGATCAAAACAAGGGCAGGTTCAGTCTCAATTGGGAGTTAGGTCAATGTGAAAATTAATTCCTCATTAATGGGAGATGGCACTACTTATTTGACATATTCTAGTTAACTTCTTTAAGTCCTCTTCCATTCAAAAAGAAAATATTTCCATTTATTTTACTTGCCAATTTTAGTATATTAATGATTTTTTTTAGTATTAATTAAATAATTTTTAAAGATCAAAAGCTAAATACTAATTAATATAAGTATTATAATAAAATATCAATCATATTTTTTTAAGGGGGACGTAAGATTCAAAATTAACAAGTAAAAATTAATAGAGAGAAAAAATTATATTCCAAATTATGGGATTTCATTTCCTTTTACTAAGGAGGAAAAAAAATGTTTTCCAATTATTTGGTTGGTAAATTTTGAAAATATTCTTTTAGTTGTAAAATCGAGAAAAATGAATTTCATAGTAGATATAGGAAAGTAAGTCATATTAAGTGGTATAACACATTAATTAGGAAATCAAATACATTTTGAAATATAGGTGAGTGAATAAGAGAGGAGAGAGGAGAGCCACGGTAGCCACATGCGAATTCATTTGGATATAATATATTTGAAATAAATTATAACTAATTTTGATCCTAAAAATTCAAGATAATTTAAAAAAACTCAAGAAAAAGCATATAATTAAATCCTAAACTAATGAAATTTGTATTATCTACCCATTTAATTATTAACAACAATAACAATTTAATGAAAAGAATAAAATATATACCAATTTTATTCTTATTTTACTTTTAGAATTTGCGACTATTACATTAAAACTAGATTTATCAAAAAGGATAATGGCGTAGCCACAAATTCCTTTGTCAACAAAAAGAAGTAAAATAAAATAATAAAAAATAAACAAATAGAAGGCAATCAAAAAGGGACCCATCGCTATCATGCGCCACAGAGTCACTATCCCCAATCTCCATTTGTTTTCTTATTTACCATTAATTTTTTTTACTTAAAATACTATATTAGTAATACAATTTTATTTTCCTAATATAAATCCAGTACTATTCACTAATCTTCAATACAAAAAGTACTCCCAATATATATATATCCGCATAAATCCGTTTCTTCTTCTTTCAGCTCTTCATTTTCTCGGCGATTTTCTGCTCAGCCACACGATTCCGACGTTCTCCTCTTCCCGTACTGTTTTACACTCTTGTATAATCTATCAGTAGTGATCGTCGATGCATTCGCCGGTCCGGTGAACTTATCGTTGCCTTGTTATCGCTCTCAGATCTGTGAGTATTTCTACCTTTTCCTATGCTGCTGCGGAGCGATTTTTGTATTCGGTTTTGCATTTCGTTTAGTTGATTTCTTACTTATTAGTGTTAATGTTGTATTTGCTTTGCTCTGTGGTGATTTCAGAGTTTTTTTTTTTTAGATCTTTGAGTATGTGACTGAGAGGTTTACAGTGCTAGTCTTTAATGTTACTTGTTTTTGTATAGATTTGTTTTGCATTGAAGATTTTTGTTAAAGCATAACTGGTGTATTTTTATTTTTATTTGTTTTTTTAAAATTCATATTGAAGCACAAAATAGGTGGTTCATTGACGGTTTGAATCTGTTTTCATTTGGTCAGAGTTTAGTTTCATGTTTTTGTTAATCCTTTTACTTTTTTTTTTAATTGTTGATCTTTTTTAGAGTGTTCTGCCAGTGATCTATAGTGTTCAATGCAGTGTTGACTATAGAGTCCGCCTATTTGACTTCGATTTGACATGGGTTGTAGCATATGTAAATTAATTAACTTGATTGGAAATAGTTAATTATAATCCTTTTGACAGTTATCTAGTATTCTGCATTCTTACTGCGTGGAATAGGGGCTGGAATAATTAATTAAGGAAACTAGTCAAAGAAAAAAGTAGTACGTACAACCAGGAGCACTCATTCTAGTCTCTAGAGCCTTTTGTCTATTGTGCATATATTTTTTCTTTGGTGATTTGGCAGTAAAAAATTACTGCCCTGTTTCTTTTATATGATTCTATTTGACTGAGTAGGGAGCTTAAGAAGTTAATTTGACTCATGTGTTGTATTAGTGAATCTTGAAGAAATAAAGTAATTGTTAAGAAAGATAGTTTAAAAGTCAAATATCACCTCAAAGTATAAAATAGTATGGACATGAATTCTTGCCCAGGGCTTAGTTCAAGTAGCAGAGGCTGAGGGACTTATGAGTTGTCACCTGTTTGGCCAAGCTTATTTTTTTGTCAAAAGTGTTTATTTTTTAAAAGTAAGGTGTTTGGCCAAACTTTCAGGAGAAAATAAGTGTTTCTGAGGAGTAGCACAAGCTGTTTTTCAGAAGCTAGCTAAAAAGTAGTTTTTCCCCAAAAACACTTTTTTTGAAAAATGCACTCGAGAAGCACTTTTAAAAAGTTTCGTCAAATACTAATTGTTGCTCGAAAGTGCTTTTTAAATTTATTGGTCAAACACAAAATGCTTCTCACCAAAAGTATTTTTTTGAAAAGCACATTTAAAATAAACTCTTTTAAAAAATAAGTCGATTTTAGAAGCTTGGCTAAACATGCTATTAGTTTGCACATTCTAGCTCTGCATCATGTGATCTAAGGCTGGTATTTAAGTGGAGAAGGATGTATCCTTTTTTGTCCGAGTTTCGAAGGCTGTAATTGGCAAGGGTTGGCTGTGGACATATTTCTTGGTCTAAACGAATTCTTGATGGCTATAGAAGTTGTATAGAAATGGTATGACGTCAAACATTTTGAGTCATTGCAAAAATGGAACTAGTGTGAAATGAACTGAAAAAGGAGTACTAGATCCTTATATGTGTTACAGAAATGAGTTTTTGTAATAAAATAATTGTGTTCTCTGTTTTCCTTTTTTCCATGTTTGTAATATTTCATATGCTGCTAGTCTGACAAGCGGTTATCGGCAATGTGAGGCAGGTGCTTGAAGTTCCCCCTAAAGGTTGAAGTAGCTCTAGACAAAAGCATTTGCATGTCGACCAGATGAGCAGAACTGATGTTATTTGCAGTAGAAGGAGGAGGTTTCTTCTCGTCTTCAGCTTCTGGATATAGCAAGGGCCTGACCCTTCTACTCTTGGGTCAGAAGAACGAAGAGAAGCCCATGAGAGTTGCACCGTGGAACCAGTACCAGTTGGTGGACCAAGAAACTGATTCTGATCTCCAGCTGGCTTCCGGGAAGAACAGGCTTGTCCGCGGGTGCGGCTCCTTTGTATGCTTTGGTCGCGCTGCCGCTGGACTTGAGAGCCCAGCTCCCCTTAAAGTCGGTCCTACCCAACTGCCAGAAGTCTTGCCCAGCTGTCCCGCTTCAGACAAGGGCAACGATCAGCTGCAATGTGTTAATATTGTTGAAGACAGTTATATTTCACCAAAGCTTGCTCTTAAGAGTAGCCTAAAAAAACCAGTAAATAGTGTTTCCATTTCTGGTGGTAATGAACATGATACAATTTCTGAAAAGGTTGATGATGCCCCCAACCCTGTGGAGAAAAGGAAAGTGCAGTGGACCGACACAACCGGAGGAGAACTTTTTGAGATACGGGAATTTGAGCCTAGGTATGAGCTCCATTTCTTCATCTTTAATCTGGTGTTTGTTTCTTGCTGTTTCGCATTCTAGGCATTGTAAACTTTTTTACCAATTACTAATTACATCCAACTTAAATGGTTTTAGTGATTTCAGTTCAAAATAATATCGTTGTGTCTGTTAAAAGAACTAGACTATTCATGTTAGATGGGGATTTAGTCATATCCTGAAACAAATAGCTCCCTTAAAAAATTCTCGAAATGTCTTGATTAAGGCTTGCATGCTTAGTTCCATGGTTTTTCAACTTAATGTTGTGTGCCTTGACTGATAGGCATGTACTTTGATGGTAGAATCAAAGGTTTTCGTTAATGTCTCTGACATCTTCCGCAGGTGGCAACATGTCTTTGTATTGTTCTTGTAAACCACAGCTTCAAGGCACAAGATACATTTGATAAGACTGTTGTAGGTCCTTCCATTTGTTGCTTTATGAAGTATAATAGCCCATGTTGCTGCAAACTGCTTATCATTTTCCAGAAGTCTTCTTCTTGTCCTTACATTATCTATTTCCATGCTTAAAATTTTTCTAAACAGTTTGTGGTAGAAACATGAGGTGCTAGAGATAATAATTTTTATGTGAACATGCAGAGTATATGCCCTTAAATATCTAGATGTAATATTTGCAGTTTAGCAACTCAAAATTGCTTTTCTGCAATTTCCATATCCTTTGCTAATTGTGATTATTGCATCTTTTCAAGCTAGTATCTTAAAAGTCTAAGGAGTGTTCCATCAGAAAAACAATGTTTCCTTAGGGTGTAACCATAACAATGCTTAGGATAGCACCTGAATTGTTTTTTTTTTTTTTTGCAAGACATTTTTGTTAGTATTTTGTTTTGTAATTTATTATTAGTTGGGAGTTCCTCATTTGAGATTGAGGTGCTGTTGATTGATTGGGTTATGAAGCTGCCTTTAATCATCTAAGATTTCACATATGCGAGAAACTTTTAGAGAAGAAAACAGATTCCTTCATGATATCGACTTGGTTTCTGTTATTTCCATGGATACTCAAATTCCTCTGAAAGCAAAGTGATGGAACAGAGGAGATTTTGGCTAGAGATAAAAAATTGTATCTAGTCGTCAACTATGTGAAAAACCTGAGATTAAGGGGAGATACTGAAAGAGGTAAACATGTAGTTTTCAGTTGGAACAGTAAAAAAGTTGGGATGTATTCAACAGAAGGTGAGGTGGTTAGAAAAGGAGTTTCAAGCTGGTTTCTTCATTTGAAGCATAAGATCAGAGTTATTCATTTGTACTACTATATATTGTAGTATCTCCAGACTCCAAGTGTCTGGGTTTGTCAGATTTTTAGGTATTTTATATCTTATTTGGTTGGGGGTGAAGACTACTTTTCCTCCTTATCCTCACAGTTTTGGGTTAACTATCTGGTGTTTTTGTTCCATTAAGAACTATGCTGATGCCCTCAAATATGCAGTGTGAAACAACTCCAACGGGCTTGACTCTTGCTGTTCCAATTACATGTCAAAAGTCAAAAGTGGTGTGTAAATAGCCCAAACATATTAGGGGGAGCATATAGTATTATCAGTTTGACAAAAATATTTCGTGAATTAGAATATTGTTTGATTCTCCCCTAGCATCTTGAATCTCTTTAGGACGTCTGAATTGATTTCAACATTTTTCTTCTTCTTTTGATTAGTACAGTTGCTTGCAAATTTTCAAGACAAGGTAAAGCTAAAGAGAATATTAGTTTATAAATTTTCAAGACATGGTAAAGCTAAATAGAATATTAGCCTATAAATATTGGGATCATCTGAATTTGCACATATTCAATGAGTTCATTGTACCTACAAATTCATAAAGAGTAGAAACTTTGGTCTGAGGCCTGTAATTTTCCTATCAAACACTTCTACATCTTTGTACAAGCATGCCTGTGTAATTTTCCCTGAAATATTGTGTGTTATATGTTGATCCCTTGTCTGGTGAAAAGTCACTTGCTTTCCTATATTTAGGTTGCCAGCTTCTTAATTTTGCATTATACATTTACATCAGTCATCAGCCAAGTGACCCTTTATACTGATTCTTTCGTTGTTCCAAGCATGCAAGTCTTTTTTGCTTACTTTCATGTACTTGTGATTGCAGCGATGATGGTGAATCAGATGATGAGTTTGAGAGTGGGAATGAAAGAACATGTTCTTGCAAGATAATGTAATTTTAGCTCCTTGTAGAAGGTTTTGTGGGCTGATTGTCATTTAGGAAGGCGACAGTCAAGGTGCTGCAGATATTTTTATGGGGAAAGTTGGTTTTGTGACATGCCTTGCTCAACTATCAGTCGGGGCAATTGAAATTTGAGGCTGTATTAGGTAGTGTGGCCACATTGATCATGGGCTTTTCTGGTTTTGGCTGACTAATCTATTGTCTATATTCAAATTCTTGGATGACATTTTTGTTTCGCTGGGGTCTGCTTGTCCATTGTTTTCATAATTACATATTTCATCTTTTTTTTTCAAAATCTTCTTGTTTAAAAGATTTGTCGTCTTCTTTTCCTCCCAGACAGAATGAATCAAATATGGACATATAAATTTGTAGGAAGCTTGTGCATCTTCATATAGTATTATAGATGTATGCAGTAAATGTTTAAGCACTGAAGCTTGCTAGAACTTGTATATTCATGTATATCAGCTGTAAAAGCAGGATGCCTAATCTTTAGTGAGCAATAACATTCATTATCAATTAGTGGCGGAGACATAATTTTTATCAATCATTGGTGTTCATCATAGGCAAGTACTGAAAAACACAAGAAATTCTACTTATGGACAATTTAGCCCTTTGTGAAGTATTTCGTGGCACTTGCCTTCTTTGTTCTCTTCAGACATTTTTTTTAATCATCACTTATATTTGTCGAAAAATGTTACTCGTCATACTAACAATAAAAAAATTTGCCAATGAAGGTACTTTTGATCAATTCAATTGCATCATTGTAATCTAAGGTGTGTTTGATACCAAAGAAGATGATTATTTAAAATATAAGTGTTTTTTATGGCTATTTTTTTGTATCTGTTGTAATGCATCTTTCATTTTGTCTTGTATGAAAAAAGAAATCTTCTTTTATAAAATATATGTGTTGTCACTTGGTATTATGCTCCTTCTATTCCAAATTATTTGTCTACTTTTTTTTTTTTATAATTGTCCCTAATTACTTGTCCATTTTGATAAATCAAGAAAGGACAATTTTTTTTAATCTATTATATCCTCAATTAATTATTTTGAAAAAGATGAAACTTCTTGAAAATCTTAAATTTTTAATTCAGCCACTTCATAATTAATAGTGGTAAAATGGTAAACTCACTGTGTCAATTTAAAAAAAAAATATGTGTGCTAATTTAAAAGTGGACAAGTAATTAAGCACAAATGGAGTATATACTTAGGGTGTGTTTAGTATGAAGGAAAATGTTTTCCATTGAAAATATTTTCTTAGAAAATGTTTCTTGGAAAACAAGTGAATTTTTAACTTATTTTCTCATGTTTAGTTGGTGAGTAGAAAATATTATCTAATGTTTGGTTGGTGAATGAAAAATATTTTTCAAAAAATGTCTTTTATTTTTGGCTTGAGACAAAAAAATACTCTTTATGAAAATAATTTCTGATATGAAAATCAATCCCGATAACTGATCTAGGACCCGACCCCCACACCCAATTAGGACAAGACCCCGATGATTGTTCCAAAATCGAACCCAAAAAAAAAAAATTCAAAAATATTTTTTTTCAAAAAAAAAAATTGACGGGGTCGCGGGGGTGGGGGTGGTATAAAAAATAATTTTTTTTAAATTTAAAATATTTTTCAAAAACAAACTTTTAAAATTGGAGGGGGAGGAGGGTAGGAGGTGGCGTAAAAATAAAAAAAAATTTAAATTTGAGGAAAATGAGTTGATTTGAAAAATGTTTTCCAAACATTTTAAGCCAATCAAACATAATCAAACATGAGAAAATTGGATAACATTTTCCAAAAAATATTTTGCTCCATACCGTACACATCCTTAATTGCATCCATTCTCGCATTAATTGTACATTTTCTATAGTTTTTATGAAAGTATGTTTCTGTGATTTATATGCTTATTTTATTAATTAATAAAATATTTAAAATCAAATAGTCACGATGCTTAAGCATTGAGCCTCCTCCCGTGTCCAATTGCCAGGCAAATTATTGTTTATTTTCTTTTTAAGCAAACCTCTCATTTTTCCTAATTTTAGTTTTTAATTTATTTTTAGAGTGTGGTGAGATGATTGAAGTTTCTCCATTTTTAATCAAAACGTTTGAGTTTGAGCCTAGAAATAGAGAAAATCAAGTTAAAAGTGTTCTCAAAGTGGATTTTAAGCCTGTAACACGTAATCCGATTATAACAGAGCTACTAAACATTGAAAGATAAGTTTAAAAAAATATTATTTTTTCCAAGATTTCTGTTGGGGAGTATAGCTTCCACGTGGTCTATTCCAATATCCATCTCCAATTTGCAATAGCCAATAATTATTGTACTCCGTTTCCCTCGGTCTCAATTTATATAACTTACTTTTTTTTAGTCTGTTCAAAAAAGAATGATATATTTTAATATTAAGTAACAATTTTACTTTAAAATACCTATTTTATCCTTAATAAAATGATTTCTAGTCATATAAATTTCTATCATTCATTTTAGATCATAATTTTAAAAATCTTCATTTCTTTTTTAAACTCTGTGTTGAATCAAACTATCTTGCATAAAATGGGACGGGAGGAATAGCATAGTAGCGCACCAACAATATATGTCGGTATTTTTATTTTTGTCTAAAAAAGGGAAAAACCATATTATATGATTACTAGTAAAAAATCTGTTTTATTTATTCTTGGTCACATCTTTTTCTTGTTAGGAAAAAAAAGGAAACTTTTGCTGCCATGGAAGTGAAAGGAAGCTCTGACAGTTCTCTTTCCAACCAAAGGTTCTACTTCAAAATTCTTAACATTACTATAGTACATCATTGGTTGATGCATTTACTTCTTTTTTCTTAATTTTGAAAAAACGATTGTGTTTTACTTTTATTTTTTCTTGAGTGCACCTCATCTCTTAAAAGATCGGGTAAGATCTACATATACTCTGATCTCTTCAAACTTTATTTGTGGTAATATACTAAATATGTTATTATTCTTACTCATATTTTGGTTCATTTGTTATATGGAGATTGCTATTCAATATTAGGTTGGTTTTATAAAATGCAATCTCTTTGTCTTCATGTTAGAGTTGTTGATGTCTTTTCTTTTGAACGAATGATTTTGGTTTAGTTGTTATATATTTGAGTATTAGGTTGGTTAATTAGTAAAATTAAATGCATTCTCTTACTAAAATTTATTTTGGAGAAGTGAGTTTGAGTGAAATATTGCAAAACTTAGGAGCCATTGTTATATTGTGTGGTGGAATTTGAGAGTTTTTCTTTCTGGCTTTTCTAGAATTAGATTTGATAACTCTTTCTTTTTCATTTTAAATATATATATTCTTTTGGATGTGGGATCGAGGATGAGGCTACTTTTTTCTTAATCAGAGATTTCGGTCTCTCGGGTTCGAGCCCGATATAGACAAATCCTTGGTATGAGTGCTCCTCCGAACGGAGCCTACACGGTGCCAATCCGGAATAGTCGGGCAAAACTTAGATTTAAAATAAACCACGTGTGTCCGTACATTATCGTTTACATCAACAAGTTCAACCAATTATCTACTACTACAATATAAGATTTTATTTGTACACTAAAACAATGTAAATAATTTTTTAAATACAGTGTATTTTAACTTGTTGAAGTAACAAATAATTTTTCTTATTTATTTTAGATTTGTTGATCTCACTTTTTATGGCAATTGCTTGTAAAGTGTAGTTATCTTTTAGGTGATATAATTATAGAAGTTTGATCACTCAAGAGATCAAGTTAATCGAAAGCTGAATTCAACATCATAGAGAAAATAAAGGCAGAATATATCGATAATCACTTAAACTTGTTGGTAAATATCATTTAAGACACTCATGATTATTTGTCCTGATTGAGCATCTGAACTCACGATGAAATGTTATTGACACTTCAGACTCAAATTTTTGTATGTGTTGGAAAAGTTTTAACTTGATATATATATATCACAGGCTGTTGGGAAGAGTTGCCTTAGTTACTGGAGGTGCAAGTGGTATAGGAGAGAGCATTGTACGCTTGTTTCACAAACATGGCGCGAAAGTATGCATTGTTGATATTCAAGATGAACTTGGACAACGCGTTTGTGAATCCCTTGGTGATGAAGAGAGCGCGTGTTTCATCCATTGTGATGTTACTTCAGAAACTGATGTTAGTAATGCTGTTGATTTTGCTGTAGAGAAATTTGGCACACTTGATATAATGGTTAACAATGCTGGATTAACAGGGACGCCATGTTCAAATATCCTCGATTATGATCTCTCTGTTTTCGATAATGTGCTTGATGTGAACGTAAGAGGTGTTTTCCTAGGAATGAAACATGCTGCTCGTATAATGATTCCACGAAAAAGAGGATCAATTGTGTCTTTGAGCAGTGTAGCAGGGTCTATTGGTGGCCTCGGACCTCATGCTTATACAGCTTCTAAGTTTGCTGTTTTGGGACTAACGCAAAACGTTGCAGCTGAGATGGGGAAACATGGTATACGTGTGAATTGTGTTTCACCTTACGCAGTTGCAACTGGATTGGGACTGAGTCACTTACCCCCTGAACAAAGGAATGATGATGCTATCGCGGATTTTAACTCTTATTTTGGGAAGTTCGCGAACCTGCATGGCGTGGATTTGATGGCTCAGGATGTTGCTAATGCTGTGTTGTTCTTAGCCAGCGATGAAGCAAGGTACATAAGTGGGCACAATCTTAAAGTTGATGGTGGTTTCTCAAGTGTAAATCACTCTCTTAAGGTGTTTACATAAGTACTATATTTATCAGAATTTTATAATTAGAATAAGTCTATGAGATTGTAATCTTGCAAAAACTTTTGAACTATTATGTTTGTGACTTTCATCCATTCAAATAAAACTGATGTATTTGTTCATCATGTAACGTCTCTCGTTTCTATCTCTTTTAAATGGGTCGGGTTAGTCCACATGGACGACTCACAATGATGATCCGAAAATACAAGACAGGCAAAGCTAGCGTACAATCTTACACCCAAAAATTAAGGTTCATCTATTTATGTTTATCTTTTGTTGGTGTCGTGTCACAATTAGTAAATTTCATGTCAATGTTAGTCTCGAAATGATTGTCTTCTTTCATGAAAGTGTGTAAAAATATGTTAGTGATTTTTCGTGAAAGGATACGTCCATTTGAAAGCCAATGCTACGATTAAAGTTAATTAACATTACAAATCGAGGGAGTTAGAATTTTGAGCGTATGAATTCTACATTTTAAAAAAAGTAATTCATCATGAATTCTATATATATAATACATTTACACATATATTAAGTAAATTTTTTAACC